TTTCCTTGATAAAGGAGGCAAGAATATACAATGGAAAAAAGACAGCCTCTTCAACAAGTGGCGCTGGGAAAACTGGACAGCTACATGTAAAAGAATGAAATCAGAACACTCCCTAACACCATACAAAATGGATTAGAGACCTAAATGTAAGACTGGACACTATAAAACTCTTAGAGGAAAACATAGGAAGAACACTCTTTGACATAAATCACAGCAAGATCTTTTTTGATCCACTTCCTAGAGTAATGGAAATCAAAATAAAAATAAACAAATGGGACCTAATGAAACTTAAAAACTTTTGCAAAGCAAAGGAAACTACAAACAAGACAAAAAGACAACCCTCAGAATGGGAGAAAATATTTGCAAACGAATCAACAGACAAAGGATTTATCTCCAAAATATATAAGCAGCTCAATATTAAAAAAACAAACAACCCAATCCAAAAATGGGCAGAAGACCTAAATAGACATTTCTCTAAAGAAGACATACAGATGGCCAAGAAGCATATGAAAAGCTGCTCAACATCACTAATTATTAGAGAGATGGAAATCAAAACTACAATGAGGTATCACCTCACACCAGTTAGAATGGGCATCATCAGAAAATCTACAAACAACAAATGCTGGAGAGGGTGTGGAGAAAAGGGAACCCTACTGCAGTGTTGGTGGGAATGTAAATTGATACAGCCACTATGGAGAACAGTATGGAGGTTCCTTAAAAAACAAAAAATAGAATTACCATATGACCCAGCAATCCCACTATTGGGCATATACCCTGAGAAAACCATAATTCAAAAAGACACATGCAGGACTTCCCTGGTGGCACAGTGGTTGAGAATCCGCCTGCCAATGCAGGGGACACAGGTTCAAGCCCTGGTCCGGGAAGATCCCATATGCCGCGGACCAACTAAGCCCGTACGCCACAACTACTGAGCCTGTGCTCTAGAGCCCGTGAACCACAACTACTGAAGCCCGCGCGCCTAAAGCCCGAGCTCTGCAACAAGAGAAGCCACTGCAATGAGAAGCCCACGCACCACAACAAAGAGTAGCCCCCGCTCGCCGCAACTTGAGAAAGCCTGTGTGCCGCAATGAAGAACCAACAACGAAGACCCAATGCAGCCAAAAATAAATTAATTAATTAATTAAAAAAAAAAAAGACACATGCACCCCAATGTTCACTGCAGCACTATTTACAATAGCCAGGTCATGAAAGCAACCTAAATACCCACTGACAGACGAATAGATAAAGAAGATGTGGGGACTTCCCTGGTGGTGCAGTGATTAAGAATCTGCCTGCCAGTGCAGGGGACACGGGTTCGAGCCCTGGTCCAGGAAGATCCTATATGCTGCGGAGCAACTAAGCCTGTGCGCCACAACTTCTGAAGCCCATGTGCCTAGAGCCTGTGCTCCACAACAAGAGAAGCCACCGCAATGAGAAGCCCGCGCACCACAACAAAGAGGGGCCCCCGCTCGCCGCAACCTGAGAAAGCCAGTGCGCAGCAATGAAGACCCAATGCAGCCAAAAATAAATAAATAAAATAAAATAAATAAATTTATTTTTAAAAAAGATGTGGTACATATATACAGTGGAATATTACTCAGCCATAAGAAGGAACGAAATTGGGTCATATGTAGAGACATGGATGGATCTAGAGACTGTCATACAGAGTGAAGTAAGTCAGAAAGAGAAAAACAAATATCGTACATTAACGCATATATGTGGAACCTAGAAAAATGGTACAGATGAACCAGTTTGCAGGGCAGAAACAGAGACACAGATGTAGAGAACCAATGTATGGACTCCAAGGGGGGAAAGTGGTGGGGGGGGGTGGGGGGGTGGGGTGGTGGTGGGATGAATTGGGAGATTGGGATTGACATGTACACACTGATGTGTATAACACAGGTAACTAATAAGAACCTGCTGTATAAAAAATAAATAAAATAAAATTCAAAAAAGAAAATGGTCCTTCCTTCAGACTTTACAACCCAACAAATTTCACAAAGTAGGCACCAAAGCTAATACAGAAAATTAATAAAATAAGACCTATTCGTACTAAATTCCCACATTCAAGGCATCTGCTATCATCCTACGTTCAGCACTTTTTTCCTACTCCAGAGTCTACATGATTTTCTGGAAGCTTATCATATTAAGAGCACAATATCTAATCTCTAATCTCTGATGTCAAATAAGAATTTAATTTTAACTCTAATTCCTCTTCTACATAGGAGTCAATTAAATTAAATATTGCTCCCTGTGAGCAAATCAAAGAGTCCTCCATGGACCACACCCACCAAGAGAGAAGGTGTGTTGTATTATAAAATGACAACGTTTCAGACTTTGGTCTTTGGTACGAGTTTAAGAATTTTTTAGGACAACACCTCAAGCAACTGAGGTCACAGGAATATGAAGGCAAGACAGCTGGGTACACATGGATGGCAACAGGAGCCGGAAGAACCAACATGTACAACTTGGAAACTCTTACCATTACACTAGTAAATACTATACACCGATGAGAACCTGCTCTACAATCTGGCCCCTGCCTGCTTCCTAGCCTTGCTCTCCTCCTGCTGCAGTCTATGAAATTGTCATCCAATATCTGTTTTCTTCGTCCTCAGTAATTAAATCCTGATTTTTAGCTGAATATATGGCCATGGAATAAGGATCTTTCCCAGCCTCCCTTGCAGTTAAGTGTAGCCATGTGACTGGGTTTGGCCAAATGGGTTTGTGGCCCTCTCCTTCCTTTTCCCTTTCCTGGTGGTTGTGCAAAGCAACAGCAAGAGAGTCATTTGGGTCATTAAGTGGAAGGTGACTGTGGAGAATGACAGCACAAGAAGATGGACAGAGTCAGGTCCCTGATAATTGTGAAACTGCCATATCAATCCTGGACTGCCTAAGCGGACTTTTACATAAAAAGCTTCTTTATCATTTAAAGCACTGATGCACTGGATTTTCTGTCTTGAAGCAGTTTTGTAACCATAACACATCCTACCATTCTTTCTGATTCTCTATCCTCTGGACTTGGGACTTGTGTATTCGACTCCCTCTGCCTGAAACACTGCTAACATCTCTGCTCCTTGTCTGCTTTCAGCCTTCAAATCAGAGCTGAAAAGTTAACTTTCTCAGGTAAGTCTCCCTTGACACCCTGGATGAGCTTAAATACTCCTATTTTTTCACTATGCTTTCCCTTGGATAATACTCACCACACCTATAATTGCTGGGTTAATGTGCTTCACTTTCAGTACTAGATACTCTTTAAGAACAAGTTATCTGCTTTGTCCACTGTCATCCAAGTGCTGAGCACTCAGAATATGCCCAACAAATATTTGCTCAGTGAATGAATGGATAACGTCATAGCCCTTGAGTGAATTCTGGGCTACACCTCGAGGACTTCTGGCCTTACATTACTGGACTCCTGTAGCTCTCTATTCCTGTCAGACACTCTCACAATGTAAACACTGTTTCTCTCCATTCTCTTTTGGCCAATTTTGAAATGTGCTCACTCCTTCAAGAGATCTGCACAGCTCTTTCTGACACTGCTTCATTTTCTCTTTACACACCTAGGACTAGAGTGGCAAGTATTGGGAATTCCCTGGCAGTCCAGTAACTAGGACTCCACACTTCCACTGCAGGGGGCCCAGGTTTGATCCCTGGTCAGGGAAATAAGATCCCACAAGCCACGCAGCATGGCCAAAAAACAAACCAGAACAAAACAAAAAGATAAGAGTGGAAAGTATTATGAATGCTCCTGGAACTAAAAAAAAAAAAAAATGGAGACACTTCACTAAGTTATATGACCAACATTTTCAAAAGTCAGGATTCTTTACAGGTATTTTTAAAAGGAAAATATAAGAAACACACAAACCACATTATCTGAATTCTGGCCATGTAGAGGAAAACATCCTTAAAATATTTTAAAAGCCTCTGGTTTTAAAGTGTACATCACTTTTTAATGGCATTACAAGTACCTGTCAGTTTACTGCTTTATGCACTCACCCTTCACTGACACTGAATATACTACATGGTTTACCCATTTTCACAAATTAAGCACCTTTTTGTTATAACATTGTGGAGTTAAAGAAATAGGGCCCCAAGAAGGAGGTAGTGTGATACAAGAAAAACAAACAAAAAACCAAGAGATCTGAGTGACAGTCTCAGTTTTGCCAGTGATTCACAGGGTGATCCCGGATCAGTTCTTTTCTTAACTCCAAAATGAAGAATGTGGTACAGATAATTTCTAAGATCCCTTTCAAGGAAAATATTTTGTTGCCATATCAATTTGCAGTTAATCACTTAACAGAAACAATGCTGGTGACTATGCCCCAAACTATTATATACAATTACAAGTAGAGACAGGAAACCTGATATTTGCCTGTCAGTTTTAGGCTCTAGGTAGGTTTAAATTAGTCGAAAATGTGACTTTTCAAAGTTCTAAAACAAATGTGTGTTTTGGAAAAGCTAGTTTCTGCGTGATGAGAATGGCTTTCAGAATGTGAAAATTTCCAATATGTGTTATTCTCCTCCCACATTCGTCAGGCCCACACACTGGATTCAGAAGGGGCCCTGCAAAAACCCACTGGCCAATAAAACAGAATGGTGTTCATGGCCACTCCCTTGATCCCTAGATCACATCTCCCTTAAACCATTCTGGAGCATGATAAGGAAGCTCCAGAGGGCAGTTGATGCAGCGTCAGGCAACAGCACAAAGGTCTATACTACAGCAACATGCAAAGACATCTACACTTGTCCAATACTTCCGAGCAAGAACGGCCTAGTCCAGGATTTCCACACCTCTAATAAAGGTTAAAGAGATTCACAGTCGTCTCCCAAAGTGAACAGGCTGGAAGCGCCCACTGTGAGTCCCGGCACACTCATGCTCCTATTCTGGGAACCTGCACACCCTATGGGTTCCTGCCCAGCCTCTCCAAAGCCACCGCCCACCTCTTCACGCCCTTGGGGGCGACCGCCCTGCCCCCGCCCCACAGTCGCCAGTCAGCCCTGACCTCCTCGAACCGCTCGCCCGAGAAGCCGGCGCCACGAGCCTCCAGCAGCTCCCCGAACTGCTCCAGGGTGACGGACTCTTCGCCGCG